GTATGTATGTGTGTATATATATATATATATATATATATATATATATATATATATTATGTATATATTTATATATAGTATGGTAGTTATGGACTAACGTCTTGTGGAGTAATAAAAAAATCAGAAGCAGAAGAGTTACAGTGTTAGTGCTGATTTTAATAAATGTCTCCTGTCCAATTGCAGACCAAATATGACTTCACTTCCTGTTACGGCGTGCTGTTCGTCTGCTTAATCGTCCTGATGTTCTTTGGGATCCTTTGCATCTTCCTGTACAACAGGATTCTGGACCTCATCTACTCGACGCTGGGCGCGCTGATCTTCACCTGCGTAAGTCATCTGATTCCCAGATGTAAAATTAAAAGAAAGAATTCTTAAATAAAAACAAATCTAAATAAAGCACTTACTAAACTGTATTAAATGGGTCATATGATGTTGCTGAAAAGAACATTATTTGGTGTATTTGGTGTAATGAAATGTGTTTATGCGGTTTAAGGTTCAAAAAACACATTTTCCACATACTGTACATTATTGTTTCTCCTCTATGCCCCGCCTTTCTGAAACGCGTCGATTTTTACAAAGCTCATCAGAAAAATCGCATCATATGACCCCTTTAAATCATAATGTTATATATAAAAAAAAATTCAAATAAATAAATTTAAAAACTAATTAAAACGGTACTAAAAATGTATAACTCAACGTTAAATAAATAATTTATTATAAAAAAAAAAAAACAGTACTAAACATTTTTCAATTATAATGTAAAATAAATAAATAAATATTAAATTAAATAATTAAAAAATAATTATAAACAATTAATGACCTTCTAGCAACGGAGTTGGAGATCCAAATGCAGCTTTATTAAAAGAGCGAAGTACTACAGGCAGGGTAAATCACCAGCAAACAACAACATCCAAGGCGAGACAAAACAGTAATCCACAAAACAGGCAAGGGTCAGGGCAGGCAGGAAACGATCAGAAGAAACAAGGTCACCGTCCAAAGTTGGAAACACAATAAACTAAGGGAACAAGGAAAACTACTCAGAAATGTAAGCTACAGCAAAACAAGACTTCGCAATCAAGGAGTGAGTAAACCAGATTTTTATAGTATGAGACTGATGAGGTGATGAGATACAAGTGCATGTGATCAGTGAAGAGTCCGGGCAAAGGATTATAAGAAAGGGAGTCCTGAGTGAATGGTAAAAGTCAGGGATGGATTGCCCTCTGGTGGAGCTCATGGGCACTCCAGCTGATGATCATGACATAGCCCACCCCGCTAAGGAGCAGCTTCCAAATGCTCCTTAACAGACCAGAGTCCAGGAGGGAGGTGGAACGGAGGCAGAACAGGGGGAGGGATGGAGGGCCAGGTCCATGAGGAAGGGGAGGAACAAGGGACTGAGGCAGAGCCAGCGGAGCAGGAAGCCATGGTGGAGCAGTGAACCAAGGCAGGGTGCCAGGGCGGAGCCGAAGACCCCCAGAGCAGAGCAGAAGACCACCACAGTGGAGCAGACAGAGCCGAAGACCACCAGAGCAGAGCCAAAGACCACCACGGCTGGAAAAAAGAGCACAGAGAGATTAACAATGCCCTCTGTGGCCGTAACAGGGCAGGCAGACAGTTCAGAAACTGCATCTTTGTCCATAACAGGGTGAGCAGAGAGTTCAGGGACAGCCCTTTTGACAGTGGATAGGCAGAGAGTTCAAAAGCGACCCCTTTGGTCGTGACAGAACAGGCTGAGAGTTCATAAACTGCCTCATTGACCATATCAGGACAGGCAGAGAGTTCATAGGCGGCCTTCATGGGCATGACAGGGCAGGCTAGAAGTTCATTAATGGTCTCCTTGGCTGGGACAGGACATTGAGTGGATTCAGAGGTGGTCTCGGTGATCATGACAGGAAGGACTGGGAGTTCATGAACGGTCTCACCGGCTGTGACAAGCATGACTGAGGATTTACAGATGGCCTTCTTGGCCGTGAGTGGACAGTCAAAGGGTTCAGAAAAGGACCTTCTTGGTCGTTATGGGACAAACAGAGGGCTCGGGATTGGCCTTATTGGCCCTGGCAGGACAAACAGAGAACGCAAGAACGGCTACCTTGGCCGGGACAGGGCAAACAGAGAGTTCAGGAAAGGCCTCTTTGGTTGGGACAAGGCACTGAGTGAATTCAGAGGCAGTCTCTGCGACCATAACAGGCAGGGCTAAGAGTTCATGATTGGCTTCTATGGCTGAGACGGGTATGACAGGGGGTTCACTGACGGTCTCCATGACCTCGTCAGGACAGAGAAAGAGTTCATATGTGGACACCCCTGTCTTGAAGGGAGCTGAAGCGAACAACCCCACCACCTCCAGAGGTTCTGCAGAGGATGCTGCCACCTCTGAAGGTTCTGCAGCAGTAGCAACAGGAGCTTCAATAGGCAATGAGAGTTCATAGACAGCACTCGCGGCCATAACAGCGGCATCAGGAAACAGGGAGAGTTCAAAAATAATGTCTGTGGTAAAATCAGAGGTGATTGGGCACACCGAGAGCTCGGGGAAGAGTGCCGCTGCTGTCTCGGGAGGAGCTGGAGTGGACATCACCGCCGTGGAAGATGCTGCAACAGAAGTTGCCACCTTAGGGGGAACTGGAGTGGACTCTTGGACTGGAGCGGGCTCAGGGACTAAACCCATCTTTGTACTCTGCTCAGGAGCTGAAGTCATCACTAGACTACTGTCAGTGACTGGAACGAATACTGAGCTTTATTCAGAGGCTGAGGCAGACACACGACTGAGATCAGGGGTGGAAACAGATATTGGGCTGTGGTCAGGGGCTAGAATCATCTCTGGGCACAACTTGGGAATAGAAGCCCTCTCTGGGCCAAACTCGAGAACAGAAGCCCTCTCTGGGCTCAACTTGGGAACAGAAGCCCTCTCTGGGCTAAACTCGGGAACAGATTCGGGGACTAGAGTGGACGCCACCACCTCGGGAGGTTCTGCAGTGGAGGCTGCAACCTCTGGGGAAACTACGGTGGTGTGTGCGGCCCAAACACAGAGAATGGCCGTAGCCATAACTAGTAGGACAGAGAGTGCATTGTCTATCTCAGAGACTGAAGACTGAGACTGTGTCAGGGGAAACTGGGGCGAATAGCGGTCGGCAGGCTTGAAAGCATAGAGTCTGAGTGGCTCGGGAGCGTAGCGACCCCTAGAATGCCAGCAGTTCGTACCGACACCAGCGGTGGGTCCTTCACACTTCACCAGTCTCTGACTCTTAGCAACAGGTTCTATTGACAGGACTGTGGAGGGCTCTGGGATGGCAGATGTGACGGAATGGGACTCTGGAAAGTCAGCTATGACGTGACGAGGCTGTAGAAGATCAGCTGTGACGTGACGAGGCTGTAGAAGATCAGCTGTGACGTGACGAGGCTCTAGAAGATCAGCTGTGACGTGACGATGCTCTAGAAGATCAGCGGTGACGTGACGAGGCTCTAGAAGATCAGCTGTAACGGGACGATGCTCTAGAAGATCAGCTGTGACGTGACGAGGCTCTAGAGGATCAGCTGTGACGTGACGAGGCTCTAGAAGATCAGCTGTGACGTGCTCTTGAGTGGTGGCCATGTTGTAAAGAGGCCCTGGCTTGGGAGGCATGACGTGTGAAGACTCTGGCTTGGCAGGTTTGACATGAGCAGGCTCTGGAACGACGGCCATGAGGGGACAAGAATCAGGAAAGGCGGACATGACGGGACAAGACTCAGAGACAACATGACGGGACGAGACTCTGGAACGGCGGCCATTTTGTGGAAAGTCTCCAGGTTGGCAGCCATTTTGTGAACGGTCTCTGGGTTGGCAGCCATTTTTTGAACAGTTCCTGAGCTAGCAGCTAACTTATGAAAAGTCTCTGGGTTGGCGGCCATTTTGAAAAGAGACTTTGAGCTGGCGGCCATCTTGGGAAGATACTCTGAGCTGGCGGCCATGTTAACAGGACATGATGGTAATCTTGGTGAATGTTTAGGGGAAACGTCCTCCTCGAACTGACGAACGTACACTTCAATAGATAGGTTTCCTTGCCGAAGGAGCAGTAGCTGGTCGAATGAGTCCGTAATTGGCCTGGATAACTCCATAAAAGCTGCTGGATCTGGGTGGGCGAAGTCTTCTGTACCGCTGAGCGGTGACAACGGAGTTGGAGATCCAAATGCAGCTTTATTAAAAGAGTGTAGTACATCCAAGGCGAGACAAAACAGTAATCCAAAAAACAGGCAAGGGTCAGGGCAGGCAGCAAACGATCAGAAGAAACAAGGTCACAGTCCAAAGTCGAAACTAGGGAACAAGGAAAACTGCTGAGAAATGGAAGCTACAGCAAAACAAGACTTCGCAATCAAGGAGTGAGTAAACCAGACTTTTATAGTATGAGACTGATGAGGTGATGAGATACAGGTGCTTGTGATCAGTGAAGAGTCCAGGCAAAGGATTATGGGAAATGGAGTCCTGAGTGAATGGTAAAAGTCAGGGATGGAGTGCCCTCTGGTGGAGCTCATGGGCACTCCAGCTGGTGATCGTGACAAATGTATTGTCAAATAAATAATTATTAAAACAAATAATAAAAAAAAAGTACTAAAAATTATTAAATTATAATGTAAAATAAATACTTAAATAATTATTAAAATAAATAATTTAAAAACAATTAAAATAAAACATTACTAACAACGTATTAAATTAAAAAACAAAGGTACTTTGAAACACTTGTGACAGTCCTTTTTTTTTTGGAAAAGAAATGGGGATGGGTATTCAAATTTAATGTTGTTATGCAAGGTGTGATGTTCTTGTAACGTTGTTTACATGTAATTTGGATTTTACGTTTTTGTTTTGTTCTCTTTCTTGAAAAAAAAGCAATAAAGAGAATGTTAAAAAAAATTTAATAAACAGTCAAAATAAAAACACTTACTAAAAATGTAGTCAGTTATAGTGTAAAACAAATAATCAATTCATTATTAAACTAAATCATAAAAAAAAAAACACTTACTAAATATGTTCAAATATAACGTGGTGTTAAATGATTGAAACGATGACTTAAAATCTTAGGGGTACTTCAAGCCAAAAAACTCTGGGAATCCCTGCTGTAAATAAACGCTTAATTTCCACTCATATACAACAGAATAAAGGAAATAATGTCATGTTTGTGTTGCAGTTCTTGGCCGTGGACACGCAGCTGCTTCTCGGGAACAAGAATCTGTCCCTGAGTCCCGAGGAATACGTCTTCGCCGCGCTCAACCTGTATCTGGACATCATTCATATCTTCTTATACCTTCTGCGAATCTTCGGAAGAAGCCGTGGTTAAAAGTGCACCGCTGGAGGAAGAAACGCATGCGACCGGTTACAGATGAAGCGTCTCATTTACTTCTGTGTCACGATGCTTTCTTGTTTCATCTTCACACCTAAGCGATGTTGCGAAGCTATTCTCTGCTCTTCTGTTCATTTTCATCACCTGTTCATCAATGCTATTAATATAATCAAGAGCAAATGCACTGATTCATCATCCGCTCTATGTTATCTGTTCTTGATTTTTTTTATGCATGCTGTTTTTCTTTTAAGAAGGGAATAAAGACATTTTATCAACAAATTCATTGTTTTGGACATTTTTTTCTCACGTTCATGTGCAAAGGTTCCATTGATGACATCAAAGTCGCTTCTGATTCCGATTGTGATTCTTGTGCTTTTATTGAAGACAGAAGTCAAATAATTTGCGATTGATCAGTGAATCAGAGTGAAGTGGATGAGGAAAATAAGCGTAAACTGTGGCATGAAATGAACGAGCTGAAAATGTACTGAAGCGAACAGCTTTACATCAGTCGACGGTCTGGTCAGTCGTTCAGGTAAGAAAGATTTTTCTGAAAGTGTATGACCACAGAAAAATGTTTATTAAATACAAATGTAATATTTTGTGTATAATTCTATATTTAATATTATGTGGATTTTTTTGTAAGTTTTAAAATGTAATCAATTGTAATAATCTTTTTTTTATTTTTAGAAATAAATTTAAATGCGAAAAATATATTTTATATTTATAATTTTATATTTGATATTATGTGGAACGTTTAAAAAAGATGTTTTACTTGTTATAAATAATGTTTAATCCATTTTTTCAATTTATTATTTAATTTTTAAGTTTTTAAAAATAAATTTAAATACTAAAAAATATTTTATATTAAAAATGTTAAATTTAGTATGTGGAATTTTTATCAAATAAATTTAAATAAGACATTTATTATACATATAGTATACAGTTTTTATTTTTGAAATTACATTTAAAAAAAATTATATTCATTTTATTTATGTGACAAAATGGTAGCTTTGTTTATATGTACAGTAAATATAAAGGTTGTGAGGCGAGAGCAGAAATAGTCCAGATGCTGTAAATATAGTGCATAATATTAAATGCATGGCATCTTTTATAAATGCACATATTTTGAATCTCTCCAGGGAAATATATGTTAGACTTTGAGTTCATTAACTGGATAATGTTTTTTTGTTAATGCTTTGACTGTACTTCAGGCAGGAGATCAGATATCGAGTGGAAGGACAGTGTGAATGAGAGCAGATTCAGAGATGATCTGTTGAAGAGCCCTAATAAGACGTCTTCACGCCTCAACCTGCTGCACACAGACACGTTATCATTTAATAATGATGAGCTGCTCCTTCAGACAGCAGAGAATGAGAGGTCTGCATCCTTCAGTCACACCAGCTTATTATAGAACACTAAAACTTAAACGCATAAGAAACAGTTTCATTACTTTGAAATAAAATATTAAATATTTTATATATTTTTAATTATTTAAGAAAATATTTAAAACATCATATAAATACAATAAATATTAAAAATAAAAATGTACCTTGTACTAAAAAAAACTAAAACTGAAATAAAAATTAATGAAAACTATATACAGTATATATATATATATATATATATATATATATTCAAGCTTTTTAGGTTTTAAGTTGAGTTTCTGGTCTTTCAACTAAAATAAAAAAATTTTTTAAAGCTAAAACTTTATAAACATTATAAACTTTAAATTGTATAAACTTTATAGACTAACAGATATTTGTTATTTGTTGACTCCTTCCATTAAAACTGTAAAAATAATACTGTAAATCCATGTTGGGACATGTCAACATATATTTATGAATTCAGTAATACCAACAACTTGTGCATAAACAACACTGTAATACATTTATTATAAATAAATAAATAACAATAAAGTATTTAAATATTAATTGCATTTTTGTAGATATATTGCTAAGATGCAATGAACATTTATATATTGTTTATGAATGTTTATACAATATATAATAGAAAATATAATCAAAAAGCTTTTTTTTTTTTTTTCTTCAAATGGTAGACAAAATATTAAGAGAATGTGTAATGCTGCTCTACGTGTATTAGCCAGAGTAGCTCGTCTTATCCGGCTTCACAGCACAGGGGCCTCTGGGGCCCCAAACCTCCAGGAAGTGAAGTCAGTTTCTGCAGGGGCGCGCCCGTGCACGCGCGGGGATGTGATCGGGCGCGCGCATGACCCATTATACCGTGCGCGCGCGCGTCGAACTCGCTGGAGGCACGCGAGCAGCAGCAGAAACGCCACGTAAACAGCGTCCGGTGAACGAACGGACCGTGATGAGCCGCAACATCAGCACGCGTTCACCACAAAACCCGCTCAGGTGAGTGACAGACACACAGACAGGTAAACTCTGACCGCTGGCACGTGATCACAGGCTTCTACACGCGGAAACCACTCGCGAGCGAATAATAATTCTAATCTGATAATTTGGCGCAGATGGCCGAAGACGTCGCCAGCACACGTGTGGAGTGCGTGTTGATTTCACTATCGACCCGCGCGCGTTAGAACGCATCAGTGTATCGATTAGGTCGCATAAGTGTCGTCAATGCTCTCGATCGATAAATCAATTCCGTATTAATCCAGTATGCGGTTTAAGTACAGCGGAGGAAGCGCAGCTGTAAGCCTCTAATCTCTCTGAACAGCATACTACATACTAGAGTCTGCAGTGCATACTGGGCATCAGGATCAGGGATGAAGCAGGGCTGCTGAGGAAATGCACCAAGATCCTCTGATGGCTATCTGTTAGATAACATCTCCTAATATCCTGTAGTTCTGGGCAGGGCTGTTATGTGTGAGTTGAGTTCAGAAACACATGGGAGTTGGGTGATATTAGTGAAAAGTCTACACACAATTTTGGAGCAAGAGGAGGCTTGATGTTCTTGTTTTTACAGTATATATATATATTTGTGTGTGTGTATATATATATGTATGTGTGTGTTTATGTGTGTGTGTGTTTATGTGTGTGTGTTTATGTGTGTGAATGCTATAATTCAGGATCCCATGGAATTCTCACAAGTGCTTGTTTGCTGCCGAACAAACTTATGTGTGTGTGTGTTTATGTGTGTGTGTTTTATATGTGTGTGTGTGTATATATATATACTGTATATATATATATACTGTATATATATATATACTGTATATATATATATACTGTATATATATATATACTGTATATATATATATACTGTATATATATATATACTGTATATATATATATACTGTATATATATATATACTGTATATATATATATACTGTATATATATATATACTGTATATATATATATACTGTATATATATATATACTGTATATATATATATACTGTATATATATATATACTGTATATATATATATACTGTATATATATATATACTGTATATATATATATACTGTATATATATATATACTGTATATATATATATACTGTATATATATATATACTGTATATATATATATACTGTATATATATATATACTGTATATATATATATACTGTATATATATATATACTGTATATATATATATACTGTATATATATATATACTGTATATATATATATACTGTATATATATATATACTGTATATATATATATACTGTATATATATATATACTGTATATATATATATACTGTATATATATATATACTGTATATATATATATACTGTATATATATATATACTGTATATATATATATACTGTATATATATATATACTGTATATATATATATACTGTATATATATATATACTGTATATATATATATACTGTATATATATATATACTGTATATATATATATACTGTATATATATATATACTGTATATATATATATACTGTATATATATATATACTGTATATATATATATACTGTATATATATATATACTGTATATATATATATACTGTATATATATATATACTGTATATATATATATACTGTATATATATATATACTGTATATATATATATACTGTATATATATATATACTGTATATATATATATACTGTATATATATATATACTGTATATATATATATACTGTATATATATATATACTGTATATATATATATACTGTATATATATATATACTGTATATATATATATACTGTATATATATATATACTGTATATATATATATACTGTATATATATATATACTGTATATATATATATACTGTATATATATATATACTGTATATATATATATACTGTATATATATATATACTGTATATATATATATACTGTATATATATATATACTGTATATATATATATACTGTATATATATATATACTGTATATATATATATACTGTATATATATATATACTGTATATATATATATACTGTATATATATATATACTGTATATATATATATACTGTATATATATATATACTGTATATATATATATACTGTATATATATATATACTGTATATATATATATACTGTATATATATATATACTGTATATATATATATACTGTATATATATATATACTGTATATATATATATACTGTATATATATATATACTGTATATATATATATACTGTATATATATATATACTGTATATATATATATACTGTATATATATATATACTGTATATATATATATACTGTATATATATATATACTGTATATATATATATACTGTATATATATATATACTGTATATATATATATACTGTATATATATATATACTGTATATATATATATACTGTATATATATATATACTGTATATATATATATACTGTATATATATATATACTGTATATATATATATACTGTATATATATATATACTGTATATATATATATACTGTATATATATATATACTGTATATATATATATACTGTATATATATATATACTGTATATATATATATACTGTATATATATATATACTGTATATATATATATACTGTATATATATATATACTGTATATATATATATACTGTATATATATATATACTGTATATATATATATACTGTATATATATATATACTGTATATATATATATACTGTATATATATATATACTGTATATATATATATACTGTATATATATATATACTGTATATATATATATACTGTATATATATATATACTGTATATATATATATACTGTATATATATATATACTGTATATATATATATACTGTATATATATATATACTGTATATATATATATACTGTATATATATATATACTGTATATATATATATACTG